AACTGGTGCGCTGTGTGGTTGTGTTATAACTGGCTGTGTGGTTGTGATTATAACTGGCTGTGTGGTTGTGATTTTAACTGGCTGTGTGGTTGTGTTGGGTGGGGTTGTGATTATAACTGGCTGTGTGGTTGTGATTATAACCTCACTGGCTGTGTGGTTGTGATTATAACTGGCTGTGTGGTTGTGATTGTAACTGGCTGTGTGGTTGTGATTGTAACTGGCTGTGTAACCATCTGTTTTTCAACACTATGAGGTAAACCATATCAACAGAGGTATTCTTCAGTAATTAAACCATTACCCATAGCCTTATTTAACAAGGTAAATCAGAACACCATGTACAATGACTGCCTGAATAAAAACAGCAGTAATCGTCTGTTAAAACACCACGTGTATATATCCTATTTTCCCACCAACACCAACTGTCCCAGTCAGGTTCTATAGTTGGCATAGCTACACTGACAACTCATCATCACATGCCCAAGCTCATGGTCGGCCCCTCTGGTGACTGTGCAAACGCACACTTGGGTGATAACCTAAGTCAAGATGTCTGCAGTACAGTCTGAAGCACGAGGGACTTCCTCCCCACACTGAAACTAGTGGATACCAACATGTGACAGACACCAAGTCACAGGCGGGATATGGAAAGTTATGACCACACACATTCATTCCACACACAACGTATTCCTTGTCATGAATGTTTTAGGCCTGATATAGAAGTAAAAGGCAGAGACATGTGAATGTCTGGGGGGGAATAGTCAGGCAGAGACCTGGGGGGGGGGATAGTCAGGCAGAGACCTGGGGGGGGGATAGTCAGGCAGAGACCTGGGGGGGAATAGTCAGGCAGAGACCTGGGGGGGGGGGAATAGTCAGGAGAGACCTGGGGGGGGGGGAATAGTCAGGCAGAGACCTGGGGGGGGGGGAATAGTCAGGCAGAGACCTGGGGGGGGGGGAATAGTCAGGCAGAGACCTGGGGGGGGAATAGTCAGGCAGAGACCTGGGGGGGAATAGTCAGGCAGAGACCTGGGGGGGAATAGTCAGGCAGAGACCTGGGGGGGATAGTCAGGCAGAGACCTGGGGGGGAATAGTCAGGCAGAGACCTGGGGGGGGAATAGTCAGGCAGGACCTGGGGGGGATAGTCAGGCAGAGACCTGGGGGGGGGAATAGTCAGGCAGAGACCTGGGGGGGAATAGTCAGGCAGAGACCTGGGGGGGGGGGAATAGTCAGGCAGAGACCTGGGGGGGAATAGTCAGGCAGAGACCTGGGGGGGGGAATAGTCAGGCAGAGACCTGGGGGGGATAGTCAGGCAGAGACCTGGGGGGGAATAGTCAGGCAGAGACTGGGGGGAATAGTCAGGCAGAGACCTGGGGGGGGAATAGTCAGGCAGAGACCTGGGGGGGAATAGTCAGGCAGAGACCTGGGGGGGAATAGTCAGGCAGAGACCTGGGGGGGGATAGTCAGGCAGAGACCTGGGGGGGGAATAGTCAGGCAGAGACCTGGGGGGGAATAGTCAGGCAGAGACCTGGGGGGGGAATAGTCAGGCAGAGACCTGGGGAGGGGATAGTCAGGCAGAGACCTGGGGGGGGAATAGTCAGGCAGAGACTGGGGGTGGATAGTCAGGCAGAGACCTGGGGGGGGAATAGTCAGGCAGAGACCTGGGGGGGATAGTCAGGCAGAGACCTGGGGGGGAATAGTCAGGCAGAGACCTGGGGGGGGGATAGTCAGGCAGAGACCTGGGGGGGAATAGTCAGGCAGAGACCTGGGGGGGGATAGTAGGCAGAGACGGGGGATAGTCAGGGGACGGGGAATAGTGCAGAGACCTGGGGGGAATGTGGAGAGCTGGATGGGGAGATGGGGAGTCAGGCAGAGACCTGGGGGGGAAGTCAGGCAGAGATGGGGGGAATAGTCAGGCAGAGACCTGGGGGGGAATAGTCAGGCAGGAGACCGGGAGCTGGGGGGAAAGTAGGCAGGACGAGGAGATCTGGGGGATCGGAGAGAGGGGGGGAATAGTCAGGCAGAGATCTGGGGAGCGGGGGAATAGTCAGGCAGAGATGGGGGGGATAGTCAGGCAGAGACCTGGGGGGGGGATAGTCAGGAGAGACGGGGGGGGAAATCAGGCAGAGACGGGGGGGGGAATAGTCAGGCAGAGACCTGGGGGGGGGTAGGTCAGGCAGGAGAGACTGGGGGGGGAATAGTGAAGGGAAGATTGGGGGAAGGGAACAGAAGGATTTTCGAGATGGGGGGAAATAGAGTAGTAGACTTGGGGGGAATTCTGAGAGCACCAGTTGGGAGGGGCCAAGGTGTTTAGGAAGTATATTATAAACAACAGACAAAACAAGTATTTAGAAGAATAATTAACTAAGTTTATCTGTAGATTGTGGCAGGAGCAGTGGGTAAGAGATCTTGCAGTCACCAAATCGTGTTTAATCCGACCAATGGTGAATTGTGTGTCCTTAACAAGCAAACCTATTCTGTAACAAGCCTGATAAGACGTATGCTAATGACAAAATTAAATGTACAATAATTAAAGTTTCTGCGACAACTCAGCCTCGAGGATAGTGGCAAAACCGTGTTTCACACAACAAAAAGCTTGAAGTCGTCAGCCACTCAGCCGTGTTAAAATACTCCAAACCAGAAGGTGGCAGCAGCGTTGTTTGGCAATGCATATCCGTGCATATTGCTTATGGTCTAAATTCCAAGCTATCTGCGCTAATGTTGCTATTTTGTAGAAAGCCCTTGTTGATACCAGCCAGATGGCCACAGCTAGATGACTACATAGCAAGATGACGAAGAAGCAATCTAATTCACTCTCCATAATCCCATACTGCCAGTGCCAGCCCATAGCCAAATGTTTAGCTAGCTAGCAAGCTAATGTTAGCATATTTGCTAGCTAGCACAACATACACACAGTTGAAGTCGGAAGTTTACATACACTTAGGTTGGAGTCATTAAAACTTGTTTTTCAACCACTCCACAGATTTCTTGTTAACAAACTATAGTTTTGGCAAGTCGGTTAGGACATCTACTTTGGGCCTGACACAAGTAATTTTTCCAACAATTGTTTACAGACAGACAGATTATTTCACTTATAATTCACTGTATCACAATTCCAGTGGGTCAGAAGTTTACATACACTAAATTGACTGTGCCTTTAAAGAGCTTGGAAAATTCCAGAAAATTATGTCATGGCTTTAGAAGCTTCTGATAGGCTAATTGACATAATTTGAGTCAATTGGAGGTGTACCTGTGGATGTATTTCAAGGCCTACCTTCAAACTCAGTGCCTCTTTGCTTGACATCATGGGAAAATCAAAAGAAATCAGCCAAGACCTCAAACAAAAATGTGTAGACCTCCACAAGTCTGGTTCATCATTGGGAGCAATTTCCAAATGCCTGAAGGTACCACGTTCATCTGTACAAACAATAGTACGCAAGTATAAACACCATGGGACCACGCAGCCGTCATACCGCTCAGAAAGGAGACGTGTTTTGTCTCCTAGAGATGAACGTATTTTGGTGCAAAAAGTGCAAATCAATCCCAGAACAACAGCAAAGGACCTTGTGAAGATGCATGCTGGAGGAAACAGGTACAAAAGTATCTATATCCACAGTAAAACGAGTCCTATATCGACATAACTTGAAATGCCGCTCAGCAAGGAAGAAGCCACTGCTCCAAAACCGCCATAAAAAAAGCCAGACTACGGTTTGCAACTGCACATGGGGACAAAGATCGTACTTTTTGGAGAAATGTCCTCTGGTCTGATGAAACAAAAATAGAACTGTTTGGCCATAATGACCATCGTTATGTTTG